CACCAGCGCAACACACACTAACACACCACCACCACCACATCAGTGTTACTGCACCACCCAAATAGTACCTGCTCCGTGAGGGTCCATGGGGGTCCTGACCACTGAAGAACAGGGTAAAAGGGGGCTAAAAAGTATGCAGAGAAACAGATGGACTATAGTCTGTAATTGTAGAACTACAAAGTGCACCCATATAGTAAGTGGAGCTGATAAAATGGACGTAGAAGCAAGGAGGTGGTCATAATGTTATGCCCGATCGGTGTATAGATATATATATAAAATATATATGTCTATGTGTATATAAAACTTTTCATATATATATATATATATATATATATATTTTTTTTTAAACACATGTTTAGTTTTGTCCATCACCATTTCTCTGTGTGGCTAAATTGGATTTGGCTTTTATTCTCATATTCTTCTAAGCTCTAATGATTATGATTATTTGGGAAATTATTCAGTACATCATGAACTCTCCAATTTTTCCATGATTTGATTTGATTTGCCTAAATTATTGTGGTACAATTCAGAATATTTTTTTTAAATACACTTATGAGGTTCTATTGCAGGAGAGGAACAGCTACTGCAGAAAAGAGACTCACCATATTAATGAGGAAATACACCTGTGTGTGTGAGAGAGAGATTTCCTGATTACTGATTACCTGACAAGTAACAACAAGCCAAAAGCTCAGTGGAAAAAAATCACTAGAGGGCAAAAGCTGTGTGTGTGTGTGTGTGTGTGTGTAGGGAGGTATCATGTTGTGTGTGTGAGTGTATAATTAATAATGCTGTAGTTCCTGTGTAGAGTTTCAGGCTGGATCGATAGCCTCCACCGCACCCTGTCCGTCTGCTGTAATATCAGCCCTCAGTGTGTGTGTGTGTGTGTGTGTGTTAGATGTTGTCTTGCTTGTACACACTGAGATACACGCACACACACACAGAATGAAGTGGTGGCCCTCAGATAAGGTTCTCTCTTGACTCCCATTTCATGCATCAACTTTTCAGTATTGAAAACAACAAACCTCCTTGTCATTTGTCTCCTCTCGCGCTCTCTCTCTCACTCATTCGCTCTCTCGCTCTCTCTCTGTCTGGCGAGTGGAAATGTAAAGTGGCGTGTACATGAAAGCGGATCGCAGCATGAGGAGTGTTTATCGGCTGGGTTGAGAGAGAGAGAGAGAGAGAGAGAGAGAGAGAGAGAGAGAGAGGGCTGGGTTACCGTGGCGATGGCGCTAAGAGACAACCACATGCAGACAAACATTCTGCTGCAGGCGTGCAGAGCAAGAAAGAATAAGCAAAAAAATAAGGAAAAAAAAAGAGTCTGCTGAAGTATGTAAGAAAATGTAGCATCATGGGGGACGAGACAACACACAAGCATGAGCAAAAAAAATATTATATTATTATATTTATTCATTTATATAATATATATATATATATATATATAATGTATTATTGTATGTTTAATCTGAGTCTCGTGTGATTATACAGATAATTAATAGAGCTGTAAATACAAATGTAGAAGATTTTGAACTTTCATAATATAAAATCATTTATTTGGATTATTGTATGCTGTTTTATTAACCTCTGGTTAAAAGAACTCAATAATACAATAATATGCCATAACTTTTCCACAGGCCACAATTTATCTTTTGAAGCATGTTTTTATTATATCTCACATAGTGTAATAATTTTAGCAAGTTTATTTCATATAAACTTTATTCTTTATTTTATAATGTAAACCACTTTCCTATAAGCACTTTATGGGTTTATAGCCCCAATACATAAAATTACACACTGTAACCCATCAGTCACTCTCTACCACTTTCATCACTGGTCAGCTTCTGACCACAGGACCACTATTTAGGTATTATTTGGGTGGTGGATCATTCTCAGCACTGCAGTGACAATGACAAGGTAGTGTGTGTGTGTGTGTGTGTGTGGTGCTGGTACGAGTGTATCAAACACAGCAGTGTTCCTGGAGATTTTAAATATGAAGTGGTACTGACTTAAGCCACCATTTGTTTTTAGCCAGTTCTAATATGGCTTTGCAACCAGGAATACTGTAGCAAGTTTTAAGAAGGGCTGATAAAACTACATGTGGACACTCCTAATTATTGAGTTCAGGTGTTCCAGCCACACCCATTGCTAACGTGTTTAAAATCCACAGACGAACATCAGCAGCAGAATGGGTCATAGTGAAGAGCTCAGTGACTTCAAACGTACTTCATAGGATGCCAAGTATGTCACAAGTCAGTTTGTGAGGTTTTTGCCCTGCCAGATCTGCCCTGGTCAACTGTACGTACTATTATTGTGAAATGGAAGTGTCTAAGAGCAACAACAGCTCAGTCACAAAACGGTAGACCATGCAAACTCACAGAGTGGGGCAGCCAAGTGCTGAAGCGCGTAGCACATAAAAATAACACATCTTTCTTTACAGAGTTCCAAACTGCCCCTGGAAGCAACTGAACTGAACTGTGCATAAGTAGCTTTGTGAAATGGGTTTCCGTGGCCGAGCAGCTGCACAAACCTAAGATCACTATGTGCAATGCCAAGCGTCGGCGTCAGTGGTGTAAAGCACGCCGCCACTGGACTTTGGAGCAGCGGAAACATGATCTCTGGAGTGATGAATCACACTCCACTATCTGTCAGTCTGATGGATGAATCTGGGATTGGCAGAAGCCAGGAGAATGCTGCCTACTGGAATGCATATTGCCAGCAGTAAAGTTTGGTGGAGGGGGGGTAATGGTCTGGGGCTGTTTTTCAGGGTTTGGGCTGCTTAGTTCCAGTAAAGGGTAATGTTAATGCTTTTTGAGGAAAGCCTTCCTAGAAGAGCAGAGGCTGTTATCACCACAAATGAGGGGCCAACTCCATATAAATGTCTGCATATTGTATTTTAACAAGTTGTATGCACATCTAAGTTGCTGACAGAACAGAATGGGGAAAAAAAGTTTTGCGGTATGTTAACATGTTTACTGGAATAGTGTCTTTTTCTGCAATATCAAAGTTCAGTCACAACAAATATTTTGTTTCCATCTGCAGTAGTTATATTTGGTGGTATGGCTCTGTTCTGGGACCTCGCTGCCCTTCCATGTGCATACATGCAAAGCCCAAGGCAGCGAGAGCAGCTGAAAGACCCCCTTGGGGCACAGAACAGAGCAGGCATCAATGAGAACAACATGACACTGAGTAAGTCAGACACTGCATGAAGGAGGAGTTGGGGTGGAGGCAGGCTGCAGAGAAAGCGTGAGAACGGGCGAGCTAAAGCAGTTATCATTTAGCATTTCACTGACATGGAACTCCTGACGTGCAGTAAATTGAAAGTATTGAAAAGTATACAAGCTTCAGTTTAACACTGAAAGTTTGCTGAACAGATGCTTCTTTCCTGTATCGTCAATAACATATAAGGGCTTGTTGTTGCAGCAATGTCTGTTGTTTTTCTCCTGACGTTTGTCACTTCTGACTTGAATCTATCACTAGTTCTGTTGGTGGAAATGCCGATGTGTAAGGTGAGATCTTTAGTGTTGTGAAGCAATTATGTTTTGGCATATGCCGTTTATTGCACTGTGAGGAACTGTAAAAGCTTTAGAAAGTAAGTTTTCCCATTACAGCACTGATTCTGAAGATGTACAAGCTAAAACAGAGAGCCAGCAGCCAACGGAAGGTCGTAGGTTCAAATCCCAGGACCGACTGGGTATTCTTGGTTGTGCCCTTGGGAAAGGCACTTTAAAGAGTTCTATTTTTGAGACCATGGACATTTCACTTTGGCTCCTACAGCATGCTTACAGCAGCGAACATGCTACTAGCAAGTTAGTGAATTAGCTAACATTAGCTGGCTAGTTTACAGCAACTATTTACTAGAATGTCTAACAAATTCTTAAAGCCACAGATCAGCACCGAAGACCTTGTGGCGTCCAATAGTCAGTAATGGTGTTTTGTGTTTTCCTCATGAGTTTAAATCACAGTGAAAAGGATTCTGATGGTTGAGCAGGCGTTCTGGGACTGATTCCAGATGCATTTGATGGGATCTAAAGCTGTCAGGAAACTAGTGGTTCCTAATGGAAACTATTAAGCCAATTTCCAACAGGAGGCAAAACCATCAGGCTTTAATTGTAATGGTTCTAATGGTCTTTTCTCAGCAGGTATGATGGCAATACACAGCCACAAAATGTTCAATTTACTAATGCTGTGTTCACATGACAAACTGGACATTCAATTGTTTTCAATAGAGTCGCGACAGAAAATTCTGTCAGCAGCAACATTTTCCTCAGACTTGTCAAATGTTCAATATTCCCAACTGTTGCCGTCAAACACAGCGTAGGCCGGATAACCAGATGCTTATGGTGGGTTGACATGTTTGCATTAAAAAAAAAAAAAAAATGATTTCACACCTCACAGACGGCAGTATAAAGCTATGAAAATGTTGGCATGGTGACCATGGAGCCAGCGATAATAAATGATCATCAGAGAAGAGCTTAAGCAGTGTAGACTGTTTATTTAAGGTAGATAATGTCAGCAGGCAGCTGTACTGTACTCTTTTATTGTTGTGGTTCTTCTGGAATTCAACAAAGATATGTTTGGCATCCATGGCTCCCAAAAAATCAACTCCGGTTTGTTCCACTACTGCAGTCGACAGCAAAAGTTGGGAAAATTAAACTCTTGATGGAGCACTCCACTCACCGCTGCGGTCTGTGGAAGGTTGGCGCTGGCAGTGGCAGAATTTTTGTCGCGGCTCCAGCGAAAACAATGGAATATCTGGTTTGCTGTTGTTCGTCTACTGCAAGCGTTATTTTTTGGGAGCCATGGATGCCAATCGTTCCAAATCATTCCCAACAAACTCAGAATTATATAGCATGAAATGAAAAAAGTACAGAGCATCCAGCATTTTACCTGCAATAAGACTGCAGCTGCATGCAAACTGCATGTACCCAGCGACATAGAGAAGGAGAAAGGTCACTGGTAGGAAAGGTCACGAATAGGAAAGCTCATAACACTTAACATTGTACCTGTTTACGGGGAATGTCCCGCCCTTCAATACAAAGAGCCTTGCAGGTAAAGCTGTGAATGGGAAAATCTCCCCCTCATTGTGTTTTCAGATAAGGCCTTTTCCGCTGAGCGTGCTGTTGGCCCCGCTGTGACAGGATGATTGACAGGTTGGGAAGCCTATGAAAATGAAAATTCAGCTGGGTTAAATTCATTCTCAAAATCATTTTGCCACAGAATGAGCAGCAGACAAGAATACGAGGAGAGGCGCTGTTACCTTTTTTTACATTTGAATTTTGCCATCTTTTGAGCTTGGTGTTCTCTTTGATAAAGAAACTTAAAATGCATTATTAGAGAGTGCAAATGCATACAAAATAAAATACATTTTAATTATTATTTTGACACCATTATTGTATAAATCACATAAACCATAACTACCTAATTCTGGAAATACATTTTAATTTACATAAAGCTACTTATGAAGTGTCTAAATCTCTGTGTAAATGTTAATACTAATGCACCAAATCAAAATTAATTAACTAAATAACTAATTTTTTCAGTCCAAAAGTGCATACAAAAACGGGAAATTTAAACCAAAACATAGGTATACAATTTCCTACTGCTATTCTTTTACAATCAGCCACCTTAATTCCTAACCTAATTCATTAGAATGGGGACATATACAGTCATATGCAAACATTTAAGCACTCCTGGTTTTCACTTTCTAAGTGAACAAACCAAAATATGGCATGTTTTTGCAATTTGTACAGCACAATTTTTGTAATGTAGGGGGCTGAGGCGGGTTGTAAATGTGAAGTGACTTTATTAAGGGCATTCTGATACTCATTGTCGTAGCAGGGAGCCGTCAACACACAGGCAGGCAGGAAAAGATGCAGATCCATAATCAGAAATAACAAAGAGACTAGCAGGGGTCAAAACCAGGGAAAAGCAAACGCAGGAAACAGGCTCAGAACTCAAGTGCAAACCACAGTGGAAATAAAGGGGTATATGTAGCAGCCTGAATGAGATCAACACAAGTTGCAGGTGTGTGGGAGAGGAGGAGAGTGGGCGGAGCCCAACACTGCAATTATTTGACTGGCAGCACCCAAACTTTCGCATACGACTGTCGCACAGGTGTCTATCAATCAGAAAACAGGGCCTAGAAAGCGCTAATTTATGCATTCCCGTCTACAAGGACGAGGAACGCTTGCTCAGTTTTTGACAAAAATGAAATGGACTGAAGATTCTCTGTTCATGCTTTGCTTCAAGATTGTGGTATAAATGTATTTATTTGTTGATTTGTTTGTTTATCTCTCCAGCCGTGGCTGAGAGTGCATCAATATCACAAGAGAAACCTCCATGAATGTTCATGTCGCGTGCATAATTTGACACCGTCCTTGATTTACTTGGTACTTATTGATTTTTTCAGATGAAGGGTCCATCAAGAGAAGGTCGAGGGCTGTAGTTCATAAGAGAGGAGTTAAGTGCCGAAGCGTAACGCACCTTAATATCGCGCCGCTCCACTCCAAGCAGCCAATTACAGCCCCAAATCCACCTTAACAACTCATCAAAGTTAACACTGAGGGGAAAAAAATTGCCGGTTGCTTGAAGAATCACAATTTATTTCGCCAAGCTGTGGAGCTGTGGCGGTAATAAATTACTAAATAAATACTGTGATGCATCTCCCTCTCGCTCTCTCACTCGCCCGCTCGCTCGCTCTCTCTGGCTGTGGTGTTGGGTTTAAATTGATATGGTCAGAGGAGAAGCAGTGAATATAATCTGCATTGATTCAGCTGAGGTATTTACAGCAGCCCATCTGCATTTCTTAGCACAACGCTGAATCATACGTTAAAGCCAGCCAGCGTGTCATCATTATTAACACACTCACAGACACACAACAGAAGTGTGGAAACAGACGAATACTTCAGAGACTTCACAGTCGGAGCTGGAGAAAGTCTGTCTGTCTGTAACGTGCAGGGCTGCAGTCGTAAACAAGGACACACGGTTTAATTTACTGCGTTTCCATCCAAACGAATTTTTGCGAAAAAGGTTTCAACCTTTAAAGTTTGTTGGAAACAGAAATTATTGGTAACATTTTCTGAATGTCAACAAAACTTTTTTGCATTTAACTTCAGAGTGAAAACTGTTTATCAACAGCTGAAATGCAGAAATGGGAACTCAAGTCGGTGACTCAACTTGAATGCGCACTTAACTGACTCGCAACCTGACACGGACAGGTGCTTAACTGACTCGTGACTCAACTCTGACTTAACTGACTCACAACTTAATTCTAAATTAACTGATTTGTGACTCAACTCGGACTCGTGCTTAATTGACTGGTGATTGACTCAAACTTGCACGTAACTGACACCTGCTCAGGTGAATTGTGGCTCGACTTAGACTTGTGCTTAACTGACTCGTGGCTCGACTTAGACTTGTGTTTAAATGACTCATGGCTCCACTTGCACTTAACTGACTCACAACTCAACTCAGACACAACTGAAACTCAACTTTACTCGGACTTGACATGTCTCAACTCTGACATGTGCTTAGGCGGCTCGACTTAGACTTGTGCTTACCTGACTCGTGGCTCGACTTAGACATGTGCTTAACTGACTTGTGGCTCGACTTAGACTTATGCTTAAATGACTCATGGCTCAACTTGCACCTAATTGACTTACAACTCAACTCAGACATAACTGACTCACTACTTTACTTGGACTTGACATGGCTCGACTCTGACACGTGTTTAGGTGACTTGTGGCTTAACTTAGACGAATGCTTAACTGACTTGCGGCTCCACTTGCACTTAACTGACTCACAAATTTTACTTAGATTTCTGCTTAACTGATTTGCGACTTAGACTTGTGCTTAACTGACTCATGGCTCCACTTGCACTTAACTGACTCACAATTCAACTTACACGTAACTGACACACAACTTTACTCGGATTTGTGCTTAACAGACTCGTCACTCAGACTCACACTTAACTGACTCACAACTTGACTTTGACTCATGCTTAACTGACTTGTGATTAAACTCAGTCTCATGCTTAACTATCTCATGACTCAACTCAGACCTGCACTCAACTGACTCATGACTCACACTCTCACACTTAACTGACTCACAACTTGACTTAGATGCGCACTTAACTGACTCATGACTCGCACTGTCACACTTAACTGACTCGCAACTTGACTTAGATGCGCACTTTACTGACTCGTGACTCGATTCGGATGTGCACAATGTCTTAGGCATCAGACCCCGAATTCATAACCATTTCATGTAAAAACTGGGAGCTTTTAGACGCATTAAACTCCTCAGATCTCTGGTTCCTATCACTGCTATGGACAATACTGACTCTGAGCATTTGACATCAAATTAGTTTGTTTACATCTTAATATTTTAATTATGCAGAATTTTGTTTAAAATCTCTATAAAGGTGAAGCACTATGAGAAACCAAAACTTCAGCTTCACTGGGAAAAGTTGTGTCTGATAGGTGTGATCAGAATGCAGTGTGTTTGTCCCTTATATGACCCTATTGTCTCTCTCTCTCTCTCTCTCTTCCCCATGCTGAGTCTTTGATGCCGAAAACTCTCCAGGCTTCCTGCGGAACGGCTCGAGTCAATTGTGCTCCGTTTCTCTCCTCCTCCCTCTCTCCGTACTCCTCCGCCTCCTCCAGCCAACCTCCCTGTCTTTTCCCACCTCTCCTAGCACTGCCGCTTTTGTTTCCCTTCCTCTTAAATCAATTTGCAGAGTGAATAGGCATTAGAGAAAGAGATAGAGAGACAGAGTGAGTGAGAGAGAGAATAAAAGGAGAAATACTCTTATACTGAAGTACAGAATGAAGTCTATTAAAAGGTATGTTTAAACTCTTTGACACTGTATGTGTGTGTGTATGTGTGTGTGTGTGTGTGTGTACGGTATGAGTGTGTCTGTATTTATTCAACCCCAGGCTGATGTATGAGTGTGTGTGTTTGCGGTCCGTCTGGGAGGTCATTTCACTTCAGGCTATTGTTTATGTGTGGGTGGGCTTCATCAGATACTAATTCACTTTAACCGAGCTCCAATCTGTAATAATGTATGTGTGTGTGTGTTTATTTTTCACACAATTTTCAGGACAAAAATCTCCTGACTTTGGAGGAAAACCAGAGAAACTCTTACACTGTGAGAATCTACAAACATGGTCCTCCATTTTTAAGCAAAATGTTTACTGTTGAATAATTAAAAGACACATGAAACATAGTATGATTATTACATATAGGTACTTAGATAGGTGTAATATATATATATATATATATATATATATATACCACGGATGTAGAATTTAGATTGAACGCCAAGTTAAAGCAATACATTTTTAAATGTTTGTTAAAAGTGTGCACTGAGCTTGCCTGTCTAATAAAAGGTGGAATTGAGTTCCACAGTTTAGAGGCGTAATAAGACAAAGAGGCCTCTCCATGTTTTCAGAAGGCCAGTATCTGCATGTTGGAATATAAATAACAGACATTCTGTGAGGTAAGCATGTGCATTAAGGTCATTTAGAGCCTTAAAAATCAGTAGCAGGACTTTAAAATCTATCCTGAACAATACAGGTAGCAACGTGAGCTCTCTTTTTTGTTTTTGTTAAGATCTGTGCTGCTGCATGTTGTACGAGGTTTTTAGGAAGCCCAGCAAAAAAAGCATTACAGTGATCAACTCTGCTTGTAATAAATGCAAGAACAAGTTTCTCTGTTTTACTCTGAGATAGAAAAAAGGCCGAACTTTAGCAACTTTTCTCAACTTTTAAAAAGCTACTTTAGCCACTGTGTTTCCATGTGGGATAAAACAGAGTTCAGAATCGAAGATTACACACAGACTCCCACCTATACCTCCCACTTCAAAATGCAGCATCTTCCGCTAACCCCTAGCAGCTGCTAACAAAACACTTTTCTTTGATGTCCCAGTAATAATGACCACTAGTCCACTAGTAATATTAAACACCTATATAATACATACGAGACATTTAGGCCCAATCCCGTTTCTGTTTTCAAGTGTCTCCCTAATCCCTTGGAACTGAGTTAGAAGGGGTAGTGGTTGAAATCTTGCCCTACGAAATGGGACAACCCTCAAATTAAAAAAAAAAAAATTGCTTCATTAACAGGCTGCTAGTAATGCTCTGTAGG